AGAAATTTAGGGTATGCTAATGAGGATAAATTTCAATCAATTAATCACTGCATCGTTTTTTTTTTATTCGCGAGGACTTGTATAAACCAACACTCTTTAAAGTTTTTACAAGCACTCTGGGATTCAGAGGTAAGGAAGTCATCGTACTGCCTTCTGAAGCTGCAAGTTCTACCTTTTTATCAATTGTTTTAATTTGGTATAATTAAAAGTCTGATTTTTGCTTCCGATTCACTTTTCGTTGGCTTTAGTTTGTTGTTGTCCTTTTAGTGTTTATTTTTTACGGAAGGTATTGCCTCCGAAAATGCTCTTGCCCAATTTCGATTTAGGTTTTGCTTTCGGTTCTCTCGCCGTTTTCATGTATCTTTTGCATTATGCGTTAGTTCTCTTTTTGTTACGTAGAATAGTCTGTGTATATATATGCATGTTTATTCTTTACTGTATATTGTTGATTTGATTTATTTTACATGCAGTATTGTGACCCAGTTTATATATATATATATTATTATATATATATATATATATATATATATATATAATATGTGTATGTGTGTGTGTGTGTGTGTGTACGCGCACATTTTTGCATATTATATGTCAGTATAGTTAAGCATAAATGCATTAGATACCTGACCTCCGCTTCCCTTCCCAGGTCCGTGCAGGCGCCCACAGTGCCCACCTCCCTGATCAAGAGCCCCGAGGGCGGCGGCGGCACCCGCGGCTCCACCACGGACTCCCCCAGCCAGCGCGAGGCCACGCCGACTCCACCAAAACCCTGCGCTCCGTCAAGACTTCGACCTCCAACACGACTGGTTCCTCTACTCCTGGCTATGGGTTGGTATTGGGAGATGCTGAGTGCTTAGGGCCATTGTCTTCAGTCTACGTGTGCTGTGATTGTCATGATTTGCCGTCGAATGATGTATTTTAGGAGACTGCGTAGTGTTTCGCATTGAAAAGTAGTACACTTACGTCATTTTATCACTGCAATAAAAAAATGAATCTTTCAGTAAACCGATACCGTGGACAAGATTTTTTCTGCCATTTTGCTCGTTGAATGAATTTAGTCTGCTCTCTTTCCTCATTTCCCCCATTTATAAACCTTAAAATAAAAATAAAATCCATAGAACTTCATCTTACACAAAGCTTATCCCTCAGCTATAGCAGTTCCCATAAACCTGTGATGGTGAACGGACCCAGCGTGAAGGCCCTGGTCACCAGCAGCGCCAACACAGCCTCGCCAACACTCCGTCGGGAGGCCGCAACACCCGAGCCTCCTGCCTTCCTGGACGACGCCGGCGGGGGCTTCGTGTCCGGCAACGGCTATGTCCCGACGTCTGCGGCAATCTTGAAAAATGGTGTCAATGACAGAGGCTCTCATTTTACTGCTGTTTTAAAGTGAGCATTTCTTTTTAAATTGCGTTTTTTTTTATAGCTATCTCTACTTTTACTGGAATTAACTGGTATTTGGAAATAACTAGCAAATATTAATGTTCTCTGTTATGAGTGGTTCTCTTTCTTCCCACAGACCTCAGCCGAGTCCTCAATCTTCGGTGACATCAGGCATCAGCGTTGGTAGCTCCAGTGTGAGTATATCTGCTGACTCTACCCTCACCAGCGGCTCCCACAACCACCATAACCTCCCTGACACCACAACCAACTCCACCCACCACGACCATCAGATGCCTTCACCACCCAACAGCCCTGACCCTGACCGCCAGTACCACCACCAGAATAGCTACGACCACCATAACTATGAAAACTTTAGCTTCGACAACCACCATCTCCACAGCAATGACTGCTCGACCATCAGTGACAGTCCAGAGCCCTATTACAGCAACTTTCCCCCCAACCATCACGACCTACACCAACAGCCAGTCTCCCACAATAAAAGCCTGTACCCAAGCCTTGAACCCTTGACTCAACACTCCACTAACATCCTTATTCATTACCACGATATAGAACGTCTACACCCATCTCTTCCCCCTTCTTCCTCGTCTTCATTATCTTCCAGTAGTCAGCCTATTCCAAGACCCAGAAGCTCTATCATATCTTCTGTTCACAGTAGTGAGTCGTCAACCCACATTGTCCAGAATTATGGTCCCTCCACTAGTGTTTCTAATTCTACCTCCACTGGCAGCCAGTATAGCACTAACTCTTTGCAGAGATCCGGAGCACGTCCTCAACAGCGTGGCTCTAGCTATGGCCTGTCGAGGGGGATATCTCCTCCTCCACTTCCCTCTTCATCTGTGACTACCTCCTCCTCTTCACCTGCTCCTTCCGGTTCTTCCTGCGGCACCAGTGCTACTCTCCCGCGGCCCACAGGTACCAGCCGGCCGCTCATGAGAACCACTGGCTCCCAAACCAACATCTTCCGCACTACAGCCTCGCAGACTAACCAGACTAACCCGGGTCAAAAGGCTTCCTGCAAACCCCCCCATTCCTCTTCCTCCAACAAAAAAGAATCAGATACAAGTCAAGGCATCCAGACAACCAATGGGACTAACCTGGCTCACTCTGCCCTACACTGGAGGGTCTATAACTGGGATGCCTACAGGGAAGAGGCAGAGTGGTCTAACTCACTAGGTCGTCCCGTCAAGAGAGCTGAAAGGGAACAAGTAAGTATCGCGCACTCACACCGCACTATGCTAGTCTGTCTATCTCGCTTCCCGTGTTCTTAGCTCGTAGTTTCTCCCGCTCTCTCTCTAGATTCCTTACCTAAGTACGTTTTCTCCCTCGCCATCCTTTCCCTCCCCTTCCCCTCTCCATCCTTTCCCTCCCTTTCCCCTCTCCATCCTTTCCCTCCCCTTCCCCTCTCCATCCTTTTCCTCCTCTTCCCAATCCATCCCTTCCCATCCCTCCCCCTTTCCATCTCCATCCCTTCACTCTTTCTCTTCTGCCCTCTCCCTCTCCATCTCTTTCCTTCATCTCCCTCTGTATCCCTTCACTCCTTCCCCCCCCCTCCCTCTCCTGTGCAATTCTTCCTCTCCTTCCACCTCCCCTGCCCCTCCATCTACCGCGCCTTCCTTCCCCCTCCCTAACCCTCCTACGCCTTCCTCTCCCCCTCTCCCGCTCCTTTCCCACCCTCTCTTTCGCCTTCCCCCTCCTCTTTCCCTTCGCTCTCCCTCCCCTTTTCCTTTGCTCCCCCTCCCTCCCCCTCCCCCTCCCCCACTCCTCTCTCTTTCTCCTGTACTTTATAACTTTTCACCAGCCTCTGTAATGCCTATAGTCCACTTTAGCACAGCTAAATTCTGATTATATTGCACCAAGCACATCTTTATATACTACACAGTCTGCAAAAACACCTGCACAGTTAGTTAAATGCAATTTCCAAATGCAATACTTCCAGCACGACCTCAAACACTACCTCAGCAAGACTCTAAACTGCCTTCTACTTGGGAAGACCCGTCACGAGTTGACTTCCTAAATACAATATGGCAAAGCCTTCCTATTTTACCAGTAAGATTACACCAACACACTGAATAACATTGATAGGTATTATTATTATTACACTTGATATTCTTTGAATGAGAAATATAATTAAGATAGTATACAGACACCTTCAGGAACACCAACATTGTCTTTTGAAGTCTCTCAGACCAAAACTTCTTTACTATGATTATCTGCTTTTGTTGCTCACACTGGTTGGAAACCTTAAATTCACATGGAGACTAAAGAAAATAATCCAGATATTTAGTCTTACACTGGATTTTCATAAGCTATTGTGTTTTCATGTTTCAATTCACTTTTGCTCCATGCGAGCTTAAGGCACCTGAGCCATGTGTTTTGCAGCAGTTGAATTGGAAGTTAAGGCCTTCTTTTGTTTATCCAACAAGCAGCACTGGCACCTTTTTGTTATGGCATATAATTTTTCACATATTATAGTTGAAGGCCCTTATTCATTCCTGTTTGTGCACAGTCTGTAACTGCAAGTAATTGACGCTTTATGACAGCTGTAGCATTTATGATTATGTTTTGTTCTTATCTATAGTTGATGGCCAGAAAGGACAAGAAGCAGCGGGTAACAGAAACCGCACATACATCATAGGTACTATCAGTAATACTTTCAACATTGGTTGAAATGTTGATAGTTAATTACCCATACTACTAGACAAACAGATTCATAAAACCAGTGACATATAAGCCAAGCTCTTTTTAAGATGGATGTAAATTTTCTTCCTGGTACCTCTTGCCATTTACTAAGACTTCAGTCTTTGCATTAGGAAATAATGTTGGAAAGTATTAAAGTTATTCACTATATGATATCAGAAGACTTGGCCTTTGACCTTTGTAAATATATGACACTTTTGACACACGACAATCATTTACCCAGCTGCTTCTTTGTCAAAATCTTTGTGCCTCCACCGCCATGTCTCCCCCTGGCCAAGCACCACCACTACCACCACTGTCCACAGCACAGCGGCTCTTGTCACCCCCTAGCTTAACCCCTGTACTTGCATGTGTTCCATCACCCCCTTTAAATTCCCTGATTGGCATTGCTCCGTCATCCCCATATAACCCCTGTTTATGCCTAACTTGCGTCCCTGGACTGAAATTATCCATCATGCTAATGTTACTTTATGCCTGCATGGGACTTAGCATTAATATACAATTCCATATGAAATAGAAAATCATTGACTAATATATCCCAGCGATTCACATTGTCACTAATCAAGAGCAAGATGTCTACAAGGCATCAATATATTTTTTTTCTCAAGAATATCAGTAAAGTGGATTTATCATGGCATGAAGGAACTCAATCCTAAGGGTCCTTGTTTGACGGATTCCCAAATGGGCACAGCCATCTTTGTATCCCACGGAGAGATTGCCACAGACAAGGTAAGCCAGAGAAGCTGTGGGCAGGGCAGGGTAGTGGGCAGTGACTGAGGACACTGTTATGTTGTTCACAGCACAGCGGGGTTGTGGGCGGGCATACGCGCAGGGGCAGTGCAGGCAGCTTGGAACTGATCCTCGGGCCGCTTATTCAGAGCGCCATGCAGTAAGTATGAGGTCACTTCCTGGAACAACTGCTGCCTTGGGTACGAGAGTCACTACTGGTTGGGCCATTTCCCACCATGAGGCAGGGGCTCTGCCATGGCAGACCCTGCGGTGAGGATGTTTCCATTGATCTCTTGTATAGGCATTGACAGTATAATCATTGATATGGGTTATGGTAATTGAAGTATATTAACGTTGGACCTACTTGCCTGGTGTGACCAGGAATAAAAAAAAATCAGTAATACCACAATCAGTTCCGCATTCCTCATTTTCAATAAATGTGTGCACACACCACCTGAGCCGCAGTAGCGCGCATATACATACATGATACACAATTCCCTTATAATATATAATAATCATAATACCCCCCCCCCCCATACGTGCAGGAAAGAGGAATGAGGATTGATTGGGTAACAGTTTTGATATTGCATACAAAGTAGAAAGTTGTGTTTGCTCAGTTTTGGCTACATTCAAATAAGTGTATTTTTGTTTCTATGTACAAGTAACCAAACTACTGTATTTATTACTTATAATGTATTGTAATAAAGTGTACACTAACAAGTAGAAGTAGGAAGTTAACAAGTCAGCAGGTGATGCTTTTGGTCTCAATCATAGAGAGAAATGAGAAATCACTCGTTGTCTTTTAACATATCAGGCCTGGGCTATCACCTGCCCCATTCGCTGGACAGGAAGCCTGCGTTGTCCAGCCACACAAGTAACATTATCACTCTGAAATTCCTTCCTCCACCTTCTCTCTCTAGGGTGACTCAGACTTCTGACTTTAGACTGGAATGAATGACTAGGGACAGTATTGTAAAGCGTGCATACCTTGCCATTAGAAGTTGTTTGCATGTTGCATCAGAGTAATGTTACTGCATGGTATTTCATTTGTTCAGTAAGCAGTGCATGTGTTTTATTTATTTTTTTCTTTCTTTGGCTGATTGACATTTATTACAATGAATACATTTCATTGTTTATAAGCAATAACTTGACTAATTTAAATTGTCATAATTTAAAAAATATATTACAATTGTGTAAGGGTTCTAATTTTTTTTTACTCTAACGAACTAAATAACTGGTCACCTAATATATATATATATAATTAGTTGGAGTTGGTATATGTAAATATGCTTTATGTAACACTTTTGCCTGTCACAGTGCAATATGCTGTATCCTGCAAATTAATGTGATGTTTGCAAAGGGAGTTGTCATACCATGTATTGTTTGTCTAAACACTTGAAAAGCTTTGTCTCGTCATTAATAGCAATCTTGGCCATTGATTCCTTTAATTTTCATGTTGCTTATTTAATGTTGTAAACTATCATACTGTGCCTGTTGTACAGTGTAAAAATGTTAATGATTAACAAGTTATCTATATAATATCACAAAAAATCAAGAAATGTATTCAAAGAAAATTTACCTAATCCTTAGCATGGAAGATTATCTTAATGTGTAGTATATTAACACTTAAAATACCGATTAAACAGAACGTTAGTTTGGCAATATATGTAATATCTGATGAATTCATGAAATGGCTTTTTGCATTATATAAGTGAATTATACATTTTCTTGGTAAATGCTTATGTATCCTCCTTGCCTGAAGTATAAATATTAAGACAGTCCATTCTCCAACAGACATCAACTGCGGTAATGAGTGACACAAATGGCTACATCAACTCCTTCGACCAGGGATCAGTCAAGATCAATGGGTCCCACAATGGCGGCTCATACATGGATAGCATGCACATAAATGGCGGTGGGAACAAGACATGCCTCCCACTCAATGGCTACTCTACAAAGGGCAGTGGGATTATTGGACCTCTGTCAAGTGAATTTATCCCAATAACCAACAATAAGATCAGCAGCCAGATGAATAATGGAAATAAAGGCCATCAGCTCAGCAGCTTCCAAAATGGCCGCACAAATACCTTTGACCAAGAATATATTAGTGGATGTGTGTTGAATGGTCATATGAAGGACAGTGGAAACAGCACTGGGAACTTCAGAACCTTTGGCAATGGCCACCTAAATGGTTTTTCAAAGGTTTCTCTCAATGGTCACGTGAAAGACCACTCCAGTGACTGCTATGAGGTGGAAAGTAGCAGCAGTAATAACAGTAAGAATGTAATGTTCAAGTCTGATAAATCACAGTTGAGGAACAACAAAAATGTTGATACAAAGGTTAGTGGAAACAGTGAGAGCGATAACAGTGGAAGTGATGTAACAAATGGTAAAGCCAAGAAAGGTGAAGCAGGTGATGAAATTAGCACTGAACTGTGATAGTTGTGTGTTGTTCTGTGTGTATATAGAGTTTATATTTTGTTACTGATTTTATGAGCTGTAAATGCCTTGTTGTAAGATTTGTGATGAAAATTTAGCGAAGCTGTAACTGTTTGATAGTTTGTAGTGTTGTTCTGGCTTGTGTATACTATTTATTGAGTATATAATGATTCTTGATTAACTCATTATTGAGTTTTATGAGCTGTAAAATGTGCCCCTTTGTTTGTAATAGTTGCATATATTGTGAATTGTAAATTTTTGAGAGTTAATTTAACATGAGATATAGGATGGTAGCGATTTAAAAAAAAAAACTATTTATCTACAAAGTATATGGTTATGTACGTACATAGATCTTTTAGGTTGGAGTGGAGATTAGTACAGGTGCCAACTATAGGTAAAATTATAGGTGAAGCTCACCAAGTTAAATGTATAATACAGTATAAGTATTTTTTGGAGTCAGCATAGTAAGGCCAAAAATATATTTCAAAATCTAGCATAAATATTATATATAATTGCATATAATTTTAATGTTTAGCAGACATGCTGGTTATAGAATGATGATAATTGATGGATCATGAAATATAATTTTATATTATAGACATATATAATGGATAAATTAAAATGGCTTAATAATAAATGTGTTAGAGTTACTAAGTAAATTAGTAATTATATATTTATTTGGGTGTGCTGGTGCCACTAAAGATGGTTTTTTTGTAATGGATTGAATATAAGAACAAGATTATATTCAGATCAAGCATAAATCATTTTTCAGTTTATTTGGTGGACATTTTGTTTATTCATGAGACAAAGGCTAGGGTATTTGGCTTAGGAAGTCTATATCTAAGCAAGATTTACATGCAGCTCTCCAAAGAGAACACTGTTAGTTGACCCGGGCAATTTAAGATACCTTTAGCTTATTAACTCAGTGTTCTCAAAAACTCACTCCTCTTTTCCATGCCACCCCGAGACCTGAACCATATAAGCCAGTTCTTCTTTTTTCCCTCAATACATTTCAAGATCTGAAAGTAACATCAGAGCCAAGCTCCTATGACACAGCCACTCAAGTTCTCGTTCCTTCTTTCTATCCTTTCTCTTCTTGTGCAAGGGAAGGTTTTGATGTAGGGATGGAAATACAAATTCGATAACTGTAGTTTATGGAAATGTAAGTTTTAAATTGCAAGAGGCATCTAAGGTATGGTACAATTAGGTAAATGTAAAATGATGGTGTTGTTCTAGTAGATGAATGAGTTCCTATAGGTGTTTTATGTTAAAACTTTATTATGTGACAAGATGCATGATGAATAATTCAGATTGAATAATGACATTGAATAAATGACCAAATATATATGATTATGGGAGCTCATTAAAGTTTCCCTGCGCTTTAAATTATTATGTATAATCCTGCGATATTCTCGGTTTCGGGGCATTCTGTATCTTCCGTAGAGTGTTTTTTAGCATATATTGTCGTGACAGATAGAGTAGTGAAAATTTTATGGTTAAAAAAAGCACATAGATTTTATAACTAGTAGGCTAGGGTTAGATATGAGAGGGCAGGCTTTTGACTATTACCGATGTTAGATAGCACAGTAAAGCAGGACAGTGTGATCTCAGGAGTATATTGAATTTTTTAGAGGCTACAGATATTGATTGGATCCAGATTACTATTCGTCATATCGTACTGAACACGCTTGATATAGGTGGTTCATTCAGCTGATGATAGGCCGTCATTAAAAGTCTAGTATTCCTACTATAATTTCAATACATGACAACCGACCATAGCAAAAGCATTTACCCTGCTTCCTAGCTTCTGTGCTATCACATCACTTAAGGTCTCATGCCATTCATGCTAGCTTCTTCTAATTAAGTTGATTGTTTTTCCTGCTAACATTCCAACCCTTCCCGTCTTAGTTAAAAGATCAACGGATGAGTGAAAAGGTAAGAGATACTGTTCGTGGTCTCTTAGCAGTAGTAACCCCTTCATCTGAGAGTAATAAGGACAATCATTGGTGATGTTACATAAAAAGTATGGTTCGCAGTTTGCAGTCGTGGACTCGATGGGCATCATGCGGAATATGAGAGAGATAAGATGGAGAGAGTAGCAAGCGATAAAGACTACCACGCAGGTGTACCATCAGTTACATGAATCTCCACAGACGGAGACCATTGTAGCTTGTCTCTAGTAGAGATCCGCTATTGCAGCAAATCTGTAAACATTATGTCACGAGAGATAAGCACATAAACTGGAAGTGTTTACTTTCTTTGCACTGCGCTCATTTATTATGCCAAACAAAATTATGATAGCGTTCTATGTTCAAGGTGCCAGCTGCTATCAGCCTACTGATAACATGAATATTATTTTTTTTTGATTACCATTCTCTTTACAGTGGGATTGCGACCAATGATTGTGATCCATGTATAACCTGATGTTATACATAACAAATTAATGTTTTGCTTCAATTATTATTTATTACTATTTATAGAATGTATACTTGGCTTGATATCTAGAACATTATTATTTTATTGCCTATTATCCTGTGCATGGTGGAAGTTACATGTACTTTATCATGTTTGTGATGTCAGTACGCTAAGTGCCACGTTCATAGAAACGAGTTCCAACAATATTAATTTCAGATTGCGAAAATATATTTTCATCACTATAATATAGGGTATTTATTGCTGCGTTCACCACTGTTCTAACTTATTTACATTTAGACTAGGTAGGAATGTCCTTATTGTCTAGTTCTATTTGTGTGAAATACAACTACAACTTTTATGATTTCATTTAATGTTAACATCTATTTTAAACTTCCTCACATATATTAGCCAGTAACTATGTAATTGTCAGAATACCACACCCTTATTATTTGTTGCCACCTATTTCGAGTAACAAAGTGCATCTATTTTACTATTGCATCAGATCAACAATCAGTGCTCAGAGCATCAATTTATGAGTTAGCGACTCGACACAGTTTCATATCAAGGTTCGTGCCTATTACGATGCAAATTGACTTCAGGCATTCTTACGTTGGTTTTAACCCAGTTTATAATGTATAATCAATTATATTGCTCTTATCTAGTTGGTCTCACCACTGAGAGTATTTTCTATACAGTCATTATCTCTATATGTATCAACCATTTTTCTGTTGTTGGGTTCCAATCGCCATACTGGAATTATTGAGAACACCATGAAAAAAGTCAAATTACATATTGTCTTAATGCTACTGTTATTATAGACTCTGGCCGAGCACGTGGCGTACTCCCACCCATGTTGTTCCATATCAGCATGGCCACTGGGCGACCCATGTGGGTTCATTTCACACTTAGACAACATTAGTTTTTAGCATGAAGATAACGCGTGGAAAGAACCTTTTAACGTCACCCATTTATGCCCCAACAAAAGTGGAGTTCCACTGACAAAAGGATAACAACCTGTCCATGTTGCCAGCTTTCTGCTTTGCCACTGTCTCTTTATATCGACCTCAAGTCAAATCTCCATTCACATCCACTGATATATATATATTTTTCGGCGTCGTACACTAAATTAAGGTAATTGCTTGTGTGCCAAGTTTTAAGAAAGATCTGTCTGAATTCTGCAATTATCACAACTCTATTTTCCAATTGATATCATGGTTTAAAATAAAAATAAACAGAATCAATATCTTGGACTTAGAGCCATTTAGATTAAATTAAATTATTGTCTATTTTTGTGATAATCACTTCCTATGAGAACACGAGTGTCAAATTAAGGGATAAGGTGACATCTACACATGCGGTACGATTTGTAAGAGTACGCCACTCTCTCGCGAGAAGTGTGGATGGACACTATTGACTCTGATTCCTTTGTCGGAGAGCACTGTCAGAGTAGAGCTCTATTGTAGTAGTAGTGGCCATGCACTATTCTCAGCACAAAAATTAATCTGAGACGCCAGCATTGTAGATCGGAGACCCACGACTATGTATCTTCACTGTGGAGACATTCTGGGCTTAGGTCGATAGGAAGTGGTCGAGATATGTAGCCAGTTTTCTAGGCTCCCAACATCTAGTTTATCTCAATGAGAGAACAAGTTATTTTGCATAGGTCTCATGTATAGAGAAGAACTTTTTTTTTCAAATTCAAAAGGCTTTTTTAATTATGTGAATTTTACATAACTTCGTGACTACAATTAATATTAAAAAAATAAACGATTGAGCGACATAGGTAACATTACCAGTAAGCATATACAAGAATCAGATATATTGAGAGTTCTGGACGCCCATACATATAATGTCAAAAACATCCACTAATGAAATGAATTCATATATACACGATTACTTGTACGATATCATAATTATAGCCTCAAGATATTTCTATAAATACAGTGATTTGCATGTATAGCAATAAATCTTGGTGAATAATATTTAACATGCTGTTAACCTCATTCTATTCTTACCACATCTATGAAAATGATAAATCTTCCCTATCTGTCAAATGTGAGGGTGCCAGGCCTCAATAACTATATTACTATTTGCATAACATGTTCCATCTGACCATTTTGCACTTGTGAAGTTTGATAATTATACTCAGCATAAACTTTGTCTAGATAACTATTCAACACTATTGTTTACACTGTTAGCCTAACAGGCACACGTATGATAGTTTACAAACATTAAATACACAAGAGAACATGAGATTTTAGTTTTAGTTAAGACAGAGGCGTGAAATCAATTAGTAGCAAGATTTGCGTATTAAATTGCGCCATGATGCACAACAGTGCACTTTTTCAAGTTCGTTATAGACCACAAACAAATCATGGTATGACACTCCCATTTTAGGCAATACATCAATCATATTAATTGTGCTCAGAAGATATTAACAGCATAGGTCTTGTTCGAAGTACCTGCGTGACAAGAGGCGACACATAGCTTGTACAAGGTAATCATTAACATCATGACTTTTATCTATTTATATTACCTAAGAAATCTCCACAACTAAGCTTTAATTAATTATTTTTATTATATCCGAGAAATTAACATATCATACTTAGTTACCTTATGGTTGAATACCAGGTTAAGAAATTAATAAGTTTCGGTTAT